TCAAATAAATAAATAATAATCTTTAGGGGGAAAAAAAGATGCATTTAATATGAAAATCTCTGACGCTATCACCAACTGAAACTTTTGATGCAACTTTCTTTACAATCAGTACAAACTAGAATTCTCTTTTGTTTACTTCCTCCAGAGAAACTTTACATTAGAGGAAAAACAAAGAGCACTAACAGTTCAAAAACAGCCGCGCACAGAAGTGACTAGAACACTGAAGCAGAACATTTTCGCTATAAAGGCTTGTCGGTGCGGTTTCAGCTCGGCTTCGGAAGAGCGCCATGTGAAATCCAGATCCAGCGACTGGCGGGGGGATGCAGCAGTTGTATTTTAAGTCAAACAGCTAATTAATGGCTAAACAAAAGAATTTCGGTCTGGACAACATACATGGAGTACTAATATGTGTAATTATGGATAGTCATTTGTGCAATCAGAAAGTTGCATTAGCATAATTATTTCTGGCTCTGGGCCTTAAAAATATTAACTTAAAATGCAGAAACCTTCTAACAGTTCACCTAATGAAGACGTGAATGCCAAACTGATTATGGAGTAAAGAGATGGTTCTTCAACAATTCTGCTCTGTTTAATAGGCTCTTTCTCTCCTGCCCTGGATATAAAAATCAAGCCTAACCCTCAAGTTACACACGGGTTCAAAATTTCTACTTTTAATATTTGTTCATTATCCAGAGCCTACACATTAATATTCATTAAGAACAAAACTACTTCCCTAAGAAATGAGTGTTACCTTTTTTTTCCTCTTCAAGTTGGCTCCACACCCAGCATGGGGCCCAACTCGGGAGCTTGGATCACACCCCCAAGATCAACACCTGAGCGGGGATCAAGAGTCAGATGTTTAACCGACTGAGCCATCCCAGCACCCCGAAATGAGTACTACCTTTAAAAAATACTTCACACAGAAGCCTGGGTGGCTCAGCCGGTTAAGTGACTGCCTTTGGCTCAGGTCATGATCCCGGAGTCCCGGGATGGAGTCCCACATCCACCCTGCATCAGGCTCCCCGCTCGGCGGGGAGCCTGCTTCTCCCTCTGACCCTCCCCTTCTCCTGCTCGCTCTCTCTCTCCCTCTCTCTCTCTCATTCTCTCTCAAATAAATAAATAAAATCTTAAAAAAAACACAATGCAAAACTATATTAAGTTTATGTACAATATAATACTTGAAGATGTAAATAAATAAAGCCAAACAATTCTATACAACAAAAGGATCAGAAGTCACTTAACAGCTGTGAGATCTTGAGAAAGTCTATTTGAAATTGTTCTTTGGGACAGAACTGGAGAGGAAATGGGCTCCGAAATCAAGCCGCATGTTAGACTCCCGAGTCCAGCACTCCTGGGCACATAATTGAACATCTCTGTGGCTCAGATCTCTTGGCTGATACCCTACGGATAACCACACAGTCTGCCTCACAGGATGAATTCCAGGAGTAAACTTAAGTACTCACATCAAGGACCCTCCAGTGCCTCACAGCGCATGCTCAGTCCATGCTGGCTGCCGTCATTACTGCCACCACCATCATCACCCCTCCTTTACGCCTGCAAGAATATGGGCTAAGGCTGTGTGTGGCTGAGAAAGCCTAATCCGAAGTGATTTGTTTCTAGACACAACATTTATTTTGCGATTGCAAGTAACATTCAGGAAGTGCAGGAGATTTTATCTATTCCAATGCGTTTAAGAAAGGTTCCAGGAGCTTAGCTGGGCCCTAAGACCTCCTTATCTTCTGGTAGCCTTCCTTTTTAGTGACGTTGAGCTTCACCAAATATTTGCTTATGAACCCACAATACTAATCCTATGTTAACTCTTTTTAATCCAAAATTAAATGACAGAATGGATTTGCCAAGCACACTAATGTGGTTAAGAGTTGTGGGTCTTTGATTAAAAGCCAAGAAAACATAACAACAGAACGAACGTTCCTAAGAATTAGTAAGCAACATACAAGAAATTAAGCTTAGAGAAAGACTGGCCCTAACAAGTATGCTATCTTGACCATATGAGTTAACCACTTTTTACCACTGTACCCTCATCAATAAAAGAGTAAAAGGAAATATGGCCTATCTTGTAACATTATTTTAAGGCTCAGAAGTAATTACACACAGTGCCCAGCCACCAGCACAGACAAGAGGGGCTCGATAAATGGCAACATGCAATGGACACAATCTCACTGTCCCTCTCAACAAAGATACAGTAGCACCAAGCCACAGCCCTCCCTCCCAACCAGCGGGAAGCGGCCCTTCCTAATGGCGGTATGACTAAACTCAACTCCGTGAGCAGTTCAACAGACCTCACAGGCAGCTCTGACTAAGCATGACTCTGCCGTAAACAGGACCAAAAGCCCCAGGGAGAGACAAGCCGCCCCCAGGTTTAGTGGCAGCACGCAGGACGGCCGGCTGCAGAACGGGGGAGAATGCCAATCCCCAGCTAGACCGAGGAAGGAAGTGCTTTAACAGAAGCACTGATTGTTTTGTTCCCGTTATCCAAGCCAGTCTAAAAAAATTTTTAAAAAAAGGACCGGTTACCATCACCATGTAACACTCTGCAGAATTAAGGACTCCTAAGACTTCGGCTGTCACTCCAAGAGTCCCCTATTTTTCCTTAAGCCAAAAATAAACAAGAAAGAAAGGCAATGTCCTCTACATTGAAATGAAATATGGGCCAGCCTTTAAATTCAGTTCTCTCCTAAGAGTTTTTGTCAGTGTTGAGCTGACAAATTACTGAGAGAACAACGGGTCACAAGGGAAAAGGGTGTGAGAGCCTTGACCCCTGCCAGCTGAGCCACCCGTCCTGCCTCCGGCCACCCTTGGGAACACACTTTGTTCACTGGCATTTCCAGCAGCAGTGGTAACTTGCACAAAACAATCCACATGTCTCAGAACCCCATTTTATGGTTCGCCAGTCAGAGAGGGGGCCACAGTTTCCTGTCTGGAAAGGGACTTTCGCAACACTGTGACCTAAATCAGTGGTCTCCAAGGAGCTGTGAGGGCCGGGGTCCTAGAAGAAAATACGGAACAACTCCATATTTTCCTTTTAAGCTCATCCTCCATAGAAACTCTTTATTAGGTGTTTTATAATGTATCTGAACTATGAGTAAAGGGGAACACATCAATAACCAGAGATAAATAAGTTAGAGGTGAAGTCCTGTGCAAGGATCTGAACCATCTACCAATCGGCTTCAGGTTCTACGACTCCATCTCCAGAAGACCCTAAAGACCACAAATTTTAATTAAGCGCCTGCTGTTTTCAAATATAATTTCAAGTCATAATTAAAAATAAATTGCCAATTTCACATAAAACATAATAATGAAAAATATATACCAATTACGTACTTTGCTTCATTTATAAATAAACTGGAGCTAACATACAATAGTAAGGCAGCAGAGCCATGTTTCAGGGAATACTAAGAAACACACTGAGTTTTTAAATAATTCATGACCTAGTTATGACCTACTGAATGGCTCCCAAACCATACTATTTTGCTGACAGAATAATGATCTATGATTAAAACTAATTGTCAGCATATTTACTTTGTTTTCATGTTTAAAATAGTTAATCAATGACTGATTAAAACAACAGGCCTCTAAACTACCTAATGTTTGTCAAGGTAGAAGTATTCTGTCTAAGGGGGAAATATAATTAATGCAAATAATCAAAATATACATACCTTAAATGAAATGTAAAATCAGTTGAGACAAGGTATCAAAGCTATGAGGGTCTACTAAGTATTTAAATCTGCAAACTAGGATTAAGTAGACAGATTCTCACCCATATAACCTCTTAAACTTCAAAACAAAAGCACTCTAGGTCAGGAAGTTAGAACAGAATCATCTTTAAAAGGTAAGGATAAGTAAGGAGCACTACTGTCTTCTTATGTCTTTTAACAAAACTGAGGGCCCAATACGGGGGGCGGGGGGAGGGTATTTAACTTAATTTGGAAGCGAATGTTCAACCAGCAACACAAACTGACTTAGATCAACTTCAGAAAACCAGTAATCGGGGCGCCTGGGTGGCTCAGTGGGTTAAGGCCTCTGCTTTCGGCTCAGGTCAGATCCCAGGGTCCTGGGATCGGGCCCCGCATAGGGCTCCCTGCTTAGCAGGGATCCTGCTTTCCTTCCTCTCTCTCTGCCTGCCTCTCTGCCTACTTGTGATCTCCGTCCGTCAAATAAATTTAAAAAAAAAAAGAAAGAAAAAGAAAACCAGTAATCACAGCCATCTGAACTAAAGGAATAGAATTCCCAGATCGATGGACACATACCCAGTTCTCATCACCACACTAAATGGGTATTACCCTATGTGGAAATATTCAGATTTCAAAATTAAAAAGATGACAAGCAATCCACCCTTAATATGAAGACTCCCAGGCTAAGACTTACCAAAAACAAGAAACATCATCCAAAAAGATACTTTCATTCATTCTACTTTACCAATCTTCTAATCAGATGCCAAATACACAATCTGTCATACAGCCTCCATTCCTAATTTAAAAAATCCTATCATTAAGGTAAACCCATCAACACTCCATGCAAACTCTTTTCATCAGAGAGGACTGACAGCGGTTTTGCTAATAAGAAGCCTGCCCTTCCCAGTTCTACAGAAACTTCATACTGTCACGACACTGCATGTCTTGTGGAACACTGGGGCTGTCTCTTTATTAATTCATGACAACATAAAAACTAGTGTTTAGCTGAGATGCAGGCAGAGTTAACCACCAAATGCAAGACGCCAAAATGCAAGAGAACACAAGTATAGTAACTCGTGCTACCTTAGTAAGTCAGCGCACATTTTGTATTTTTCAACGCATGCCACGCAGATTACAGGTAGTTCAAGAAACAGGTTTCTGTTAAATCCAGATTACGATTTTCTCATTTACAATCCCCTAGTTCAGTATTCTTATTTCAAAACTAGTAAAAAGTAGTATACTATGCCAAATGACCTAACAACTTTGCCCTTAAAATAATTATACCCCTAAAAATAGAAATTTATCTACCTCATTAGTGTTCCAACGGTGCCTCTCTTTGGGTAAACTTGAACATTTCGGCAGACATTCAAGCAGCTTTTTCGGTAAAAAGATTTTTACATGACTACTATTGCTGTTCCCATGATCATCTATAAAGAAGAAAACAATAGATTCAGAGAAAATAATAGAGGAAAATCTCCTTTTAAGTATACTGGCAAGGTCAGAAACGGCAGCTTAAGTTTGGCCACCGTGAGACCAAAAGCACCATTCCTCTCGGTTAGCAATGCTCATTTACACACTGATCAGATCAGGGGCAGCAGGGATCCGGTTGAGAGGCTCTAAAATAAGATCGAGCTTTTCTGCTCCGTGACAAGCGAGTGGACAGGGAATATCCCAGCAGCTGCCCATCCCCAGAACATTACTCTTAAAGGGTCTCCCACCAGGTTTCCATGAAGTACATCCGAATTGCAAAAGGATTTAACCTCACAAAACCCAGAAATCTTCTATCAACCAGTTGAAAAAGTTTTAAGTTTTTTAGGGAAGAGGAATTATAATAAAATATGACTACTTTATTAATAAGCTAATACTACTTCATCCCCAAGAATACAAATGAGACTTATCCTTTCAAAACCAAATTACAAATCTTATGAATATAAGGAAGTTACACCTACAGGTAGTTACCTAGGTAAATACAGAGGCTGGTCCTTCTAGCCTAAACCTAAAAACATACCATGTTAATTAACTTGATTTGCATATACATATCTATATAAGTAGTATCCTTCATCAAAATGTAACTCTCCTAAATTAGTGAGAGCAAACAAAGTTCATTACTTTCAGACAAGATGGTATTTCTGACTGCCTGATAATCAGTCTCCCAGATACCTTCTAGAAGAGATCATTTCCTTTATGTATTATTTCATTCATTCATTCATTTACAGGTCATTTCTGAGTTCATTCCCATAACAAAGTCCCTTTGCCTTGCTCAAAATTTCTTGCCAGTTTTGGCACACTTAGGTCAAACTTTTGAATTACACAGTCCAATTTTTTTTTGTAATGCTAAAATCATAGTTAAAATAACTTTATTCTGATATTAAAAGGTATAATAAAAACACTGAACTCCAAATCAAGAATTCAAGATTCTGACCCAGTTCTGCTACTTTCTAATTGTGTGACCTTGGGTAAGTTACTTAATATTCTCAGTTTTCTAAATCAAGGAGAATTAAGTAATCTCCAATTCTCCTCCAGGCATAAATCCCTACGAAATTTACTACCATTCAATAAATTTAAATGCCTTACGATTAAAGAATCTTACACAGGCATACAGGAATTAGTTAATAATATTAAAAGTTAAATACAACAATATATCTTTCCAGTCACTTACTGTAATTTTGTTTAGCATAGCCTATTTTTTGAACACGTGAAAAACATGAAAGAATAAAAAATTTTCTACAATCACAACAAAATCTTCTCCAAACATTTTTTATCTGATTAACACATTTCTTCTCAAGGGAAAGACCTTAAAAGAAAAATACTGGGCACAGAAATAAAGTCTGAAAAAATTTACTACATAATATGGAAATATTTTAAAGGGAGGAACTTAAGAGAACTGTAGCATACTAAATCTTTTTTTGATCCATGAACTACACAACCAATTGAATTATAATGCCCAATCTTCTATTTCTAGAGGCAGTATAAAAACTTGAAAAACTTAAAAACTGCTTAAAATTTTAACAGCAAAATAAAATTAAACTTTTTAAAAATCTTGCTATGAAACCAGAAAACCAAGTGTTCAGCTAAGAGAATGTTCATAGAAAGTTCTGTATTAATTACCCTCTATAAAACCAATGTGATATTATGTGCTTATGCACGCTCCCTGCACCTCATCCTCCCCAGGGAGGCACCGTGGGCCATAAAACTTTAAAGCGCAGAATACCAAATCACATGAGCCAATACCTCACTTCTCTCTTCCTTTAAAGAGGTTTTATTCCCTTTTTTTTTTTTAAATCTCCCATGATGTGTACAATTCTGGAAGTAGAGGTGAAATTCTAAAATCTATACTCGATTCAAACCGTCACCATTTACAGGATGCCTTTTACGAAAACAGTATTACACAGGTGCTCAATCAATGGGCTTACTCTGAACTGTACGGGACTAGTCATATCTCCGAGAAAACTTCTATTTAAAGTATAATTTTGAACAATGATGAAGAGAAGATTAAACCCCAGCTTCTATTTTTGTTTGTGATCACAACCTGACATTAAGTATCTATTCCTGTAAACCTCCTTGAGGGACCCAGCTGTCCTGTGGCTATAAAAAACGCATGTGTGTGTACCCCTACGTGTGTGTACATGTGTGTACATACACCTAGACTCGTGCTCCCGCCTGTGTACAGACACACGTGTGCACGCACGCGTGTGTGCGTGCGCACAGGTCGCGAGAGAGAAAGACACTCTTCTCCACGGCACAACTCACTGCCACAGAAGCGGCTTCGGTCTTCCACTCTGACACCAAACCAGGCGGCGGAGAACTGGCCCAAAGGCTTTTTGCAAGAGGAAAAGGAGAGTGTCTGTGTAAGCACGGTCTCAATCACGACTCCAAATACAGCACTTTACAGGGATGTGCAGTCATGGGTTCAAAAGGAAGAGGAGTATGACAGGCCAATGGGTCACCCTGAATCAGTTTTTAAACTGCTATTTCCAGAATTGTAGGTTCATGCTGAATATAAATTGATGTTTTTTAGAAATATAACAATGGGTAAATTTTCCCACTATGTATTACGAAGATGGCAATTTTTATACTGGGGAAAGAATATTAGGAACTCAAACAGGAAGAATTTAAATTCGTATTTTCCAAATTTCATTTTTTCCAGTTACAGTGTGATGGGAGAGTAATTCTGCTTTTCATACTGGAAAAGAACTGCTCGCTTGGCCATACTGCGCAAGCTTGTGTTTTTTAATTAAAAGCTGCTTTTTAGGGGTACCTGGGTGGCTCAGTGGGTTAAAGCCTCTGCCTTCAGCTCAGGTCATGATCCCAGGGTCCCGGGATCGAGCCCCACATCGGGCTCTCTGCTCAGTGGGGAGCCTGCCTCCTCCTCTCTCTCTCTGCCTGCCTCTCTGCCTACTTGTGATCTCTCTCTCTGTCACATAAATAAAAATCTAAAAAAAAAAAAAAAAAAAAAAAGCTGCTTTTTAATGTTTTTGGAATAACTATAAATGATACAGTTATTAGACAAATCATTGGGCCAGTTTTTAAAAGTTTGTCTCAGTACTAAGACTATTAACAATATCTTGAGTTAACAGTGAAAGTAAGGTATATACCAGTTTCAACTGCGTTTAAGCATTTAATCCAAATAGTTAAACTCTGACACCGCAACACCGAAGTGTCAACCAAAGACAGGAAAACATTTCATTATCATTATCTAGCAAAATATGTGTGTATGATATATGACTTCGCAAAATAGTTTTCTAACCTACTTCACAGTAAAAATAACTAATGAAGCTCTTGAAACTGACAGATGATGTGGCTGGCTGACAGCTGTAATTCTAGAGAATAAACCATCCTTTCCAGACAACCTTTAAATATTTTCCAAACAATAATTTTAGAGGCATCGTACAATTTAACTAAAACTCTCTAAAATATGCAAAAATGCTCTTTCACTTAGTTAATTAGGCAAAAGGCAGAATTCTTATTTTCATGTTTTACTTCAAAAAACCAAAACTCACATTACCAAATCCTTTATCTAAATCAAAAAAGATATATAGAACTCTCTCCTTCGAACACCCTTATTGACTCCTGTACGGGAAATGTTAACTATATTAACTCTAACCTGGAAATGATAATATCCAATTTATTTTGATTCATAATTAATAAAAATTAAACAATTTTGGTTCCATGAATAATTATGAACACTGTTATTCAATCAAGTCAATTATGATTAATCTCTCAACCTCTAGACCAAACTGTTCAAAATAAGTTGGTATAACAGTGTATCCAACTGCTGAATCTTATTGGGAATATATTTGATCAACAACTTGGAATGGTAAAATTAAAAGGAAGCTCTACAATTTTTCTGTTCAGCTCTAATTATTATGTGCTTAGATTTAATTAGTAGGATAGGAACTGATTCAGGAAAACATAAGCACATATTGTTATATTCAAGTCAGCACAGCGTTCACAGCAGCAATACAGCCGTCACTAACCTAAGACCTTCAAATCACTATGCATCCAAAATAAATATTAATTAAGCAACAATGTGCTTAATTATGCACCAAGCATCAGTATGATAACTCTCTAAAAGAAATTCTCCAAAATGAATTACTCAATTGTAATTATCCAAAAGACTTTTGAAGTTAAAAAAAAACAAAAAACAATAGTTTGGGGTTTGGGGGGGTTTTTTTTATTTGTTTGTTTGTTTGTTTTTCATAGAAAACATAACTAGTTTTCGCTATTTAACAACCCCTTTCCCTCTTCTTAGCGTGCGTGATCATCAAATCTCACCCTGCCTTTTTTTAGGTGGCCCAGGTTTACCTGCTCTCTGGTCAATCATACCACCAAATCTCTGGTCTGAGTTTAGGTCAACTTCTAATGCAGGTTCAATAAACTTTATCATTATTTCACTTTTTCACTATTTAACGGGAATTTACATTTTCAATTTAAAAATGCGCAGGCAGAGGCAGATAAAGTGGGAGCACAGAAGCTGTGCAATCAGCAGCTTCAATTTAGGTCCCGGGGCGTCCTCTCATGCTTCATTCCATTCAATTTCAATTTGAGCTGCACGTGATCAAGTAAATTTATTTTCGACTATTTATTAGGAAGTAAACATTTGCGGGACTCTACATCAGGCATCCAGAAAAGATTTTACATTGCATTCTCTCACTTAATTTTCACAATTACCCATCAGGGCATAATTACCCCCATTTTACAGATGAAGAACCTGAGGTTCAAATTCCCTTGCCCAGGAGCCACAGCAAGTGACTCAAATGGGATTCAAATGTGACCTGTTGGGGTGCCTGGGTGGCTCAGTGGGTTAAAGCCTCTGCCTTCGGCTCAGGTCATGATCCTAGGGTCCTGGGATCGAGCCCTGCATTGGGCTCTCTGCTCCTCAGGGAGCCTGCTTCCTCCTCTCTCTCTCTCTGCCTGCCTCTCTGCCTACTTGTGATCTCTGTCTGTCAAATAAATAAATAAAATCTTAAAAAAAAAAAAAGAAAAGAAAAAAAAAACAAATGTGACCTGTTGCTTTTCCCACAATACCACACGGCTCCTACTCAAAGTCACGGGAATTAGATACTAGAATTATAGAACTATTCTATTAGTATCTAGCATTTGCAGAGTGCTTTGAATTTCCCATGTGATTAAATGCTTTGCCTTTTTGAACCCTCCCAGAAACTTTACAAAGGGAGTATTATTTTGCTACCCCCTGAAGGATTAAGTAACTCATCTAAGATCACACAGAAAGTTAAAGGCAGAACGCAGGTCCCCTAAGGCCCAGCCACAGGCTAGTTCCACTGCACTATCATGATGGAATTACTCTTACTGCCAAGCCCACCCCTTCCTGTAAGTCAAAAGCTTTTCGAGTCCTACCTTCTAGAGGTGGCACGGTGTTGAGAACACAGTAGGTGCTAGTTCCGCAGAATACACTTTGGGAAACGCTCTAAGGAAACAGAAAATAAAATGTAAAACTAATCTTTGAAAAAGATATATACTGGCTCTTCTGTGATATTCCTACCGAAGGTGCAAAACCTGAATCTAATCATGAAGAAACATCAGACAAATCCAAATTAAGGAACATTCCACAAAATGACCGGCCTGTAATCTTCAAGAGTGTCAAGGTCCTGAGAGTCAAAAAGGACTGAGAACTCCTCTGTATTAAAGGAGTCTGAGGAGACAACAGAGTGTGACCCAGGGTCGGACTGGACCTTTCTCTACAAAGGTCACCGTGGGGTCATCTGGCCAGCTGCAGGAGCAGTTGAGGATCACAGGGTAGAAATGCCTCCGTGTTAGTTTCCTGATTTTGATCACTACAGTGGTTACAGAGGAGAATGCCCTCACCTCTGGTTTGCAGGAAATACGTAAGCAAGCCCGTGAGGACGTATACCAGCAACTTATGCGCACAAGGTTCAGGGGGCAAAAAGCTCTTCCCGCTACACCTGCAATTTTTCTGAAGGCTTCAGAGTGTTTCACAATATAGGTGTGTAGAAAAAAGATAAGTGCTGGTGAACACATATCATGTGCAGAATTTTTTAATAAGGACCATATGTGCTGTAAATAGGAAATGTTTGCTAAGAACCAATGCCATATTCATTTTATAGTCTAGTCAGTTTCAACAACATCGCTAACCATTTCCCAACAGTGCGCCCAACCCCCGGCTCATTCCAAAGGACTTAACGGGTGCCAACTAACAGTACAGCGGTGCGGTAAGTCAGGAGGAGGTTGGAAGACCAGGTCTCTGCTCTCAGGCTGCTTCATGGAAATAAAATTAAACTTTTCATGTAAAAATCTACACAACAGTACATTTAAAAAAAGGAAAACAATTTCTGTGAGTCTTGCCAGTCAATTATTTTGGTCCTAAAAATATCCTTCTTCAGGTGCAGTATTAAAAAATTTAGATTATTCATCCTGCATTACAAACCACATACGTGTGGACTTAGGAAACCAAGGACAGTTTAGAAGTTCAACCACCACCCTTCGCATTTTATATTTAAAACAGGAAAGGCTCAGTTCTCTCACTAGCAATCCTTGGAAAAGTAAACTGACCCCTCCATATGACCTCATCAGAAAGGGGCAGCACTGGCGCCTCTCCTGCCTCACAGGGTCGTGTGGAGGATCGCAGGGCATGATGTGCGCAAAGTGCTTGAAATTCAAAACCACAACACGAATACGAAGTGCCACTGTTTCCGTGCTTAGTAAGAATAATCCTTACCAGTGTTAACATTTCCTAATAACTGAGGGTTCCCTGAATTTTTTGTGCCAAAGAGAGTATGAAATCTTGAAATCTGACTAAACTTGACCTCTACGAATTTTTAATTTTCCTCTCCTTACATCCATGATCAAGCGCTTCACCACAGACTAGGTCTTTCTCCACAATGTGACTGCTAGCTATCAGGATAACCATCAGCTCCCTAATTATTTACTGTTTCTGGAAAATTCTTGTTCAAGGGCTTTTAATGTCTCTTTGTTTGATTTAATCAACAGTGGTACTTACTGACTAGCAACCTGTGGTAACATCTGAGCCTAAGAATTCTCCCTATAAACTAAGGACTAAGCTCAGAATTCATGAAGCCTTTGGAAAATCAACATTCATCTCTTCCCGTTACTGTGCATGTGGAATTACAGGACATTATAAGGAGTGGCTGATGGAAAGCCGACAGCAGTCTGACTTCGAGTAACATCTGTAAGAGCCGCCAGCAACAGCCTTCTAACCACAGAATTCAACATCTCATCTTAATGTCCTTTTGGAATTGAAACTTGAAATTTTATGTTGAAAAGGATGTGCTACATTCAAGGCTTAACATTTTCTGGCTTCCTATTACCCAAAAGACAGTATAAGTTTACCACTTAACAAGACATCCTAATAACGGTCTTAACGTCAAAAGACTTAGAAATGACTCACATACAGTGGGACACACTAATGAACGGCTTCATAAAAAAGGACTTTTACACTAAACTTCAAAGTTCGACAACAGGTAAATGAGCAGTAAAACATAACAAATAACAAATCAGAAGAATTAAATGCTAAAAAAAGAAAAAGTAACAGAAATATCACAATCAACCATGACTTCTCTTCAAAACTGGCATAATAAAGTCTTAATTTAACCAGAAAAGAAACTCACTCACATAAACTGAGAGTGAAAGCAAGTCATTCTATCCTGAAAAACACCAGGTTCTCAAGGGAAAAAGGCTAAAACACAAGAAAACCTCCATGAGCAAAGGCTATCTTATATTGAAGACCCACAGGCCAGACTCTGGGATAGGCCTTTCATAACAAGGACCCTCAGATCGCTTTCCAACACCTGTTCAACACAACGCCAAGCCAGAGGTGGCTCTGGGTCGGAGGGGCACCCATCTAGGGTCTGCAGAGTGGAGCCTCTATCCCAGTCCCACTAACTGCTGAGGTCTGAAGCAAACAGCTGGCCTCTCTGCCCCCAGGACAACACTCTGTAAGTGCAAGTTCAAGGGCAGACAGATCTGGGTCCAAGACCACCCTCAGCTTCACATCTTCATGCCGCCCTTCCTGGCTGACTCTTGAAGTCAACCATCCTTCGGGAGCCTTCCAATGACAGGTCACCCTGCTGGTGCCATCTGAGCAGCCCACAGTTCCCTCTGTGTCACAACTCCTTCTACCTGTCCTACAGATATTAAAGGGGCACCTAACGTGTGCCAGACACTGTCCCAGGAGCTGGGACCTAGCAGCGAACAAGGCAAAGAGCAGGGCCTACTCTCATGGTGCACCTGCCAATGGGGGAAGGGAGTGGAAAGCAGGGTAAATGCTGTGGATATACAATGGGTGACGCATGATGATGAGCAGTCGGGTGGGGAAAACATCTCTGAATGGACACCCACGCGCAGAGTGAAAGGCCTCCTGGACTGAAGCATCAGGAAAGCTGGCTTCTCTCATTACCAGATGAGCGGCTCTCAGCTCGGCTGCGAGTCAGTCATCCCGGGAGATTTTCTGAATGCTGATGCCCAGGCTACAAGCCCGACCAGCTAAGTCAGACTGTGCGGGCTGGGACCCAGGCATCAGTAGTTTTGAAATGTTTCCAAGTGATCCCAAGATGTATCCAAAGATGGGAACCACTAAAATAAACAGCTGTGTGACTCTGGGCAACTCCCTACTTTAACCAGTTTCTTCAAGAGTAAAATGGGGGGGCTGACCTTCAACAGAGACTCTCCAACTTTTATGTGCATGCGGGTCACCTGAGGACCTTATTAAAAATGCAGGTTCTGATTCAGAGGTGTGAGCGTGGCCCCGCCCTGTGCCTCTAATGGGCCCTGGGTGATGCCCATGCCATGATTCAGGGCCATACCCTGTGTACCAGAAACTAGAAGTTTTTCTAAAAGATCAAGAATTCACTTAAAAAGATCCTTCCAGTTGTAACATTCCTCCATAATTCTAAGAATTCCTAACAGACTAAAAAAGCACATTTGTCTGTTAACACAAACTGTAATACAAAACTATACTAGAAAATTCAAGCAAAATAATTAAAAGAAACTACAGGGATGGTTACTCAATTAACAAAGTGTCCAGCATCTCTAGAAGTGCCCAAGAGGGGAGAAACAGAAGCTCTATTAAATATATTCCCTGCCTTGGGACGCCTGGGTGGCTCAGTTGGTTGGACGACTGCCTTCGGCTCAAGTCATGATCCCGGGGTCCTGGGATCAAGTCCCACATCGGGCTCCCAGCTCCATGGGGAGTCTGCTTCTCCCTCTGACCTTCTCCTCGCTCATGCTCTCTCTCACTGTCTCTCTCTCAAATAAATAAATAAAATCTTAAAAGAAAAAAAAAATATATATATATATATTCCCTGCCTTCAAAAAGTACTCTACCGACTTGCCAGCAGACAGTACTAAAAAAGTGTAATGAAGAAACAATACATGATTTATTAAAGGCTAAAAGGAGCAGATGGTAGCAGTACAGAAACTCCATAACTATCTGCGTACCTAGCACACTCTCTGGAAGTGTGGACGCCCTTCAGCAGCCCAGGTCAGGAGGTGACACAGAGTTTGGGGATGCTGGAATAAATGAAACAAAATGCTACATAATAAGAAGTGATTACAGGCTTTTGAACAGAGAAGCTGCATGATGAAAACTGTATTTACAGTTCTTTGAAATAAGGACTCTGAATGTTTAAGTCTCCATAGAGTCCCTTTAAAGCCAAGTGAGGCCCCACACAGCTCATTAAATCAAAGACGGAGAGAGGCCACACTGAACCGTAAGAACTTGTATCAGTAGAAATGATACACTCAAAAACTTTTGCCACATATCTTATCATGACTTCAACTGATTCTTGAAATTCACTGGTCGTTTCATATAACATGACATATAAATAGTCAAAATTGAAGCAGAGTCCGAAATTCTTAGCACTCGACTACACTCACCAGTGCTGACTAGATTAGTAAGGCTACTGAGAGCAAACTGTATCATGGCTAAAATACCAAAATTATTTACTTCTTGCCGGTGTGCAGTCCAAAACAGGTGTTCAAGATCAGCAGAGAGCTCCCTTCCAAGCATTAGTTCTGGGAGCCGGAACCCTCCTCGGGTCAGCAGGCTCTTCTGCCTCAGCAGGGGCAGGCTGTACACAGGGCACACACCATGCCTGGAGGGTTTTCCGGGCCAGGCCTAAAGTGGCACACTTCTCTGCTCTCGCGCCATTGGCTAATATTTGGCCACAAGGCCACGCCTAATTGCAAGAGAGGCTGGGAAATGTGGTCTGGCTACATGCCCAGGAAGAGGAGATGGATTTCTTGATCCGCTAGCAGCCTCTTGCACAATGCCATTTGCGTGGGGGTTTTTTTAATTACAGAAGAAATCACTCCTTTCAGAAATGCCTTCTGTTAACCTACAACTCCACCTTTAATCCCTCGGGCTATTCAGCAGCTAAAACCAATCTACTAGTTTTTCTTGTCTGATAAGTATTTTTCTAACATACTCAA